TATTGTTATTATTATTGTGGATGTTTAGCCCTCCCGGAAGCAGCGTGATTTAAAAAAAAATTATTTGTTATTATTTTATTATGGATGTTAGCCCTCCCGGAAGCAGCGTGAATTTTTTATTATTATTATTATTTCTTTTTATTATTTTATTATTTTTTTCGTCGGAGGAGGAATTCGTTTGCGTCGACGTAAGATATTTGTGCCAAAGAAAAAGAGGAAAAGCACACGGAAGGAAATGGAGGATTTTTTTTATATTATTATCTTAGAAATTTAATTTATTAAATTTTATTATAGATTTTTTTATTTTTTTTATTTTTTTTTTATGTATCCGGGGTCCTTCGTCGGCCGTGATTTGACCCGAGCGCCCCAACAGGTCGTTTGGGCACGTGTCTGAGTAAGTAAGTACGTAAGTCTGAGTAAGAGATCTTTGCGAAGCTAATGAGACGGAGGCGCCTCTAACTAGCGATATCTTACTCATCTCGCCATCTGCTCGGAAGGGAACCCAGGTAGGCGACAGGTGTCCTTCAGGAGAACAAAGCAAGGGGAGAAGGTGACGCGGAGGTGAACTGGCAGTCGACCCCGTGGCCTTTCGCGTCTACCGGGGGTTCGTAATCTGGGGGGGTGGGGTTTTCTTCCCCCGAATTTGCCCTTGTTGTGGTTGGGCGTTCGGAGAGTACCACGTGACTTGGCGCCGCGGAATGTTGCGTCACTCTTCATATGCAGGAGCAACACGTGCGCGAGTCGAGCCTTTTAACCTCTATAACTTCATGCAGGTGCGAGCGCCGGGGAAGGAGCGGGGGCGTGGGGGTTGGGGGAGGAGGGGTAGGGTGGGGGGTTGGGAGGTTGGGTAGGGTTGGGGGGGGAGGGGGTTGCGGATAAAGGCCGAATATGACAAGCGCATTACTTTTGTGAGGACGAAATACATTCCTGATGATTGGGAGACGCTAATCTTTTTTTCTTTTTTTTTTTCACCGCACCTCCTGTATCTTCGACTGGAATTCGTGGAACCGAAGATGTGAAAGCAAAACCGCGCATGGCTGTTTCGCCTTCTTCTTTTTCTTTTTTTTCTTTTCTCCTTATTTCTCGGTCCCCATTGTCACCAGTATGATCCAGATCGGCCACAGGCACAATCCAGTCTGCGCTCCGGCGTGTCAGGCGAATATCGCACCCGAGGTCGGTCCGGTGGCGCGCGCTCAGCACTTGACTACCTTCCGGGCTTCCAAGCGGACAAGTAAGTCTCGCGCGCTGCTCCGTCGCTTGGCACTTGGCACTCTCGTGTCCCTCCGTGCCACTCCTCCCCGGAACTCTTTTTTTTTTTAACATGTCCGATTTGAACAGATAAGGAAGGAGACTTGCTTTGGATGGCTCGCGATGTGGTTGGATTGTGTGCAAGTCCATGTCATCTGGTCTTCAAAGTCCGATGAAACTGTTTTTTTCTTTCGATTTGAGGCAATTTAAGCAATTTGTTCTTTTCTGAAGGTTATTGCCGATTGTTCGCTGTAGTGGCTGTTGTTATTGTTATTGACAAAGAAGAAAACGGATGTACTTTTGCATTCTGCATGACATCCAGTCATGTGTGCGTGCGTAGGTGCATGTGAAATGATGTAATGCAGTATGATTTTGCGTTACTGAGTAGCTGGAGGACACACGACCCACAGTACCCAACATTTTCAGAAAACATTAAAGTCCTGAGAAAACAAAAAATGCCCCTCCCCCCCAAAAAAAAGTAAATAAAATAAAAAATAAAAATAAATAAATAAATATCCTTGTATGATATTTGCGTTACTGAGTAATTGGAGGACACACGACCCACAGTACCCAACCTCTTAAGAAAACAATGAAGTCCTGAGAAAACAAAAAATGCCCCCCCCCCAAAAAAAAAAAAAAGATAAATAAAAAATAATAAATAAATATCCTTTGTCTGAGATTTAAGCAACAAAAGTCAAAATGTGTAGTACAAAGCCTCCAGACAATGAAGAGGCGTCGATTAGGCTGTAGTAAATGACTTTGTTTATGAAGGAACATCTACCGCCAAGTGATGATGTTTGGGGGGGGGATGCGTCTGGGGAAAGGGTAGATGGGAAGGTGGTAATGATTTTGAGAAAGAGAAAGAGGGAGAGAGTGTGTGAGTGAGGAGAGAGGAGGGGAAGGAGGGATGGGTCCTCTTAAATGTGACGACGAACAACTGCCAAATTATTAAGGAGAGTGAATGTCACCGCTGTGTGTATCTCTTTTCTCTATTTCTCTCTCTTTCTCTCTCTCTTTCTGTCTCTTTTCTCTTTCTTCTTTTTCTCTTCTCTCTCTCTTTTTCTCTTTCTTTCTTTTTCTCTTTTTCTCTTTCTCTCTCTTTTTCTCTTTCTCTCTCTCTTTTTCTCATTTCTCTCTCTCTTTCTTTCCTCTTTTCTCTCTCTTTCTCTTTCTCTCTCTTTCTCTTTCTCTCTCTCTTCTTCTCTCTCTTTCTCTTTCTCTCTCTCTTTCTCTCTTTTTTTTCTCTTTCTCTCTCTCTTTCTTTTCTCTCTCTCTCTTTCTCTTTCTCTCTTTTCTTTTTCTCTTTCTCTTTCTCTTTTTCTCTTTCTCTCTCTCTCTTTTTCTCTTTATCTCTTATATTATGTATATATACACACAAAATATAGATAGATTGGAAGTTGTATGAATAAACTTGCCAGTGAGTTTATCTGTCTACCTATCTATCTATCTATCTATATCCGTCTATCTATCAATGTGATTATCTTTGTCTATCAATCTGTGTAATGAATCTATCAGTCTCTCTATTTATCTATCTATATCTATCTATATATCTATCTATCTGTAATTGATCAATAAGTCTATCTATCTTTCTATCTATCTAGCTGTGTAATGTATCTAGCTGTGTAGTTTATCTTCCTATCTATCTATCAGTGTTATTTATCTATCTATCTATCAGTGTTATTTATATATCTATCTATCAGTGTTATTATATCTATCTATCTTTCTATCTCTCTCTCTGTATTATTCTCTATCTATCTATCTATCTATCTTTTATCTCTCAGTATTATTCTCTATCTGTCTATCTATCTATCTATCTTTCTATCTATCTCTGTATTATTCTCTATCTATCTATCTATCTATCTATCTATTATCTCTCAGTATTATTATCTATCTATCTATCTATTTGTCTATCTGTCTGTATGATGTATAGCGTAGGAGGAGAGATGGAAGGAGCGCCGCCCGCGTCTCTCGGGTCGGATCTGGGCGTCCCGAGGGAGTAATTTCCGGACTGTCACGGAGGGAGCGTCTGCGGGCGGGTGATGGGGCGTCATGTCAGGCAGGCAGGCAGGGAGGGAGGGAGGGAGGAGAGGGAAGGGGGAGGGGGAGGTGGGAGAAAGGAGGGGGGAGAGGAGGAGGTGGAGGGGGAAGGGGAGGAGGGGAGGAGGGAGAAGGTGGAGGGATAGGGGAGGAGAGGTGTGAGAAGGTGGAGGGGGAGGAAGAGGGGGAAGGGAGGGAGAGGAGGAGGCAAAGGGGAGGGAGAAGGTAGAGGGAGGAGGGAGAGTAGGAGGAGGAAGAGGAGAAGGGAGGGAAAGGTGGGGGAGGGGTGAGAGGGGGAGGAAGAGGAGAGGGAGGGTAGTAGTAGTAGTAGTAGTATTTGGAAGAAGGGCACTCTTTCTTTCTTCTTTCTCTTTTTTTTCTCTCTCCCCTCCCCTCCTCTCCCTCCTCTCCCTTTCTCTCTCTCTCTCTCTCTCTCTCTCTCTCTCTCTCTCTCTCTCTCTCTCTCTCTCTCTCTCTCTCTCTCTCTCTCTCTCTCTCTCTCTCTCTCTCTCTCATTCTCTCCCCCTTTTTCTCCCTCTCTTCTCCCCCCCCTCTCAACTTCCTAAATCCCACTTCTATTTTTATTTTATCCATCGCAGTTGCTGTGTGCCGTGTTTTTAACCCACGTGTTCTTCTCTCGACCCCCCAGGTGCACGAAAGAGGGCGGCCGCCACATCCCGAGCCTGCCCGTCTGACCCTACGTACATCACTTCGGCCTCTCCTGCACGCCGAAACGTCGACAGCACTGCAAGCAACAACCGATAGACTGTGCGTGGAGTTGATGATGCAATAGATATCTTTTTTTTTTCGATTTTATATATATATCGTCCGTGTTTTTTTTTTTATTTTTGTTTTTTTTTGTTTTTTTTTTCATTGCTCATGTTTCTTTCCTCTCGTTGAAGAAACCTCTATTTGGCCGTCACTTTTTTTTTTTTTTCTTTTTGGGTGGGGGAAGGTAAAGTGAGCAGGACCCTTGTGAGAAGCTTGTTTTTTAAGTAAGAAAAAACTGTGCGTTTCTGGACTTCCTTCAAATCGACTGTGAATCAAGGGAGAGAGAGAGAGAAAGAAGAGAGAGAGAAAGAAAGAGACTGGACTTGCCCGGACCGCGAGTGAGAGAGAACCGTCGGAGGACCGTGTGAGAGCGACCTCCAGCGGGACGACGCCAGCGGGAGTAACTACCCGAATACGGTGTAATCGTGGTTGTATATATATATATATTTATTGCCGAATCGAGCGCCGGGAAGTGTGCGTGCGTGCGTGCGTGCGTGCGTCCGAGGGTCATTCCGGGCGGTTTCGATTGCCGGAAGTGAGGTGCCGCGGGTGTGGATTTCCTTGGCGTCGCTGCTCCCCGTCGGTGACCCCGCCCGCGCCTTCGCCCGCGAGCCAGTTCGATGTTGAGCCCGGCACGGCGGGTGGGCGCATGGATATCGGAAAAGGACTGGGCGTGGGCCTTCAGTAGCACTGCTTATCGGTCGTGGGCGTGGAACGTGGGCGTCCTGCTCCTAGTCTCCTCCGCCGCCCACCACAACTTTCCTACCACCAGCTCCTCGGTCGTCAGTCCCTCTTCCCCCTCGTCCCCCTCCCCTTCCCTCTCACACCCTCTTCCTTCTCCCCCGCCCACCCTCCGCCCCCGCCTTCCTTCCCGCCACGCCCGCAAGTGCCACATCCTCTTACGACTCCCAAGGACCGCAGCTGAGTCGCATCAGGAACAGCAGCGGCGGCGGCGGCGGCATCGGTAGCCAGAACAGCATCTTCAGCAGCATCGGGAGCAGCGGTAGCACCATGCTGGATACTCAGCTGCTCAAGGTGCTCTTCGCCATCTTCATCCTCGTGTTCTGGACGGTGTTCTGGGTCATACACGTCATCAGCATCATTTACGGGTGAGTGTGTGTGTGTTTTTTTTCCCCCACTGGCGCCACACCTGCCCCGGCGAGTCACACCTGTACGCGCGTTGACTCACTGGGAAGCAGATGTGCCAGGCCGTGTCGCATTTAGCTTAAGAAATATAACATGTATGTATATGTGGATGTATTTATTTTTGTGTTCTGTATCATGTATATATGTAATATATTCTATATACTCT